CATTGGCCCCTCCCCACATGGGTACAATGCCTAAAGCTCATTCTCATTGGCCCCTCCCTACATGGGCACAACGCCTAAAGCTCATTCTCATTGGTCCCTCCCTACATGGGCACAACGCCTAAAGCTCATTCTCATTGGCCCCTCCCCACATGGGTACAAGATGTAAAGCTCATTCTCATTGGCCCCTCCCCACATGGGTACAATGCCTAAAGCTCATTCTCATTGGCCCCTCCCTACATGGGCACAACGCCTAAAGCTCATTCTCATTGGTCCCTCCCTACATGGGCACAACGCCTAAAGCTCATTCTCATTGGCCCCCTCCCCACATGGGTACAAGATGTAAAGCTCATTCTCATTGGCCCCTGCTCACATGGGTACAAGATGTAAAGCTCATTCTCATTGGCCCCTTCCCACATGGGTACAATGCCTAAAGCTCATTCTCATTGGCCCCTCCCCACATGGATACAATGCCTAAAGCTCATTCTCATTGGTCCCTCCCTACATGGGCACAACGCCTAAAGCTAATTCTCATTGGCCCCCTCCCCACATGGGTACAAGATGTAAAGCTCATTCTCATTGGCCCCTTCCCACATGGGTACAGTGCCTAAAGCTCATTCTCATTGGCCCCTCCCCACATGGGTACGATTCCTAAAGCTCATTCTCATTTGCCCCTCCCCACATGGGTACAGTGCCTAAAGCTCATTCTCATTGGCCCCTCCCCACATGGGTACGATGCCTAAAGCTCATTCTCATTGGCCCCTCCCCACATTGGTACGATGCCTAAAGCTCATTCTCATTGGCCCCTCCCCACATGGGTACGATGCCTAAAGCTAATTCTCATTGGCCCCTCCCCACATGGGTACAAGATGTAAAGCTCATTCTCATTGGCCCCTCCCCACATGGGTACGATTCCTAAAGCTCATTCTCATTGGCCCCTCCCCACATGGGTACAAGATGTAAAGCTCATTCTCATTGGCCCCTCCCCACATGGGTACGATTCCTAAAGCTCATTCTCATTGGCCCCTCCCCACATGGGTACAGTGCCTAAAGCTCATTCTCATTGGCCCCTCCCCACATGGGTACGATGCCTAAAGCTCATTCTCATTTGCCCCTCCCCACATGGGTACAACGCCTAAAGCTAATTCTCATTGGCCCCTCCCCACATGGGTACAAGATGTAAAGCTCATTCTCATTGGCCCCTCCCCACATGGGTACGATTCCTAAACCTCATTCTCATTGGCCCCTTCCCACATGGGTACAATGCCTAAAGCTCATTCTCATTGGCCCCTCCCCACATGGGTACAATTCCTAAAGCTCATTCTCACTGGCCTCTTCCCACATGGGTACAGTGCCTAAAGCTCATTCTCATTGGCCCCTCCCCACATGGGTACAATTCCTAAAGCTCATTCTCATTGGCCCCTCCCCACATGGATACAATGCCTAAAGCTCATTCTCATTGGCCCCTCCCCACATGGGTACAATATGTGAAGTTCAGTGCCGTGCCTCATTTTACCTTTGAACAATATCAAAAGTTTTTATTTTGTGAAGACGTCGGAACTGTTGTAAGGATGATAAGATGAAATAACACTGACTAGAAACAAAAAGACCGATTTCTTTAAGAATGGAAACATTTACATCCAGGTAGCCAAACATCTTACTAAATTCGTTCTATGAGTAACAGGTGAAATTGAGATTAATAACAGTTAACATATCAACTCCATCCAACATAAACCCCCACACCTCCTCTTCCCAATTTTTTCCATGTTTTTGTTTTACAATGGGAATTTCTGATAAGCATTCAAGTAAACAAGGCTCAGTGTCGAAAGACATTCTTTTACGGAAGATATACCTCATTCTCTTTCCGCCCAGCTGTTGTTCCCGATCCAACCTTTGAGACTGGCTGCACAACGGGATGCACTGCGTTTATTTGTTCTGCCCTAGTGTACAAGGTTCCGTTGTACTCTCTGTCACTCATTGCTTTGTAATAAGCGTAATGGTGACTGTCGATATGTCGGCTGGCTTGGTAGAGTACAGATATGAAATATTCACCTTGTTTGTGCAAGGGCTGTGTTGTGTACTGTTATAGATGCATGCACCTTTCATGTTCGTGTGCTGTTTTCGATGTAATATGTGATCTTTTAATGTCAGGAGAAAAAGGTTGTTTTGCAAGCTCAGACTTGTATAGATTGATATTCTTGAGAATTTATTATTGTGACATTTTGGATGTTTTTTGAAGACTTTATTGTTTGGCAATCAGCAGGGGCACTGTTTATTTCTATAGAATTATGAAATAAGACTATTCTTTGATCGGTTCATTAAAAGTTTAATATCATTTTATTATTATACTCTGAAACATTTTTGTCATCCACAAATAGATGTCATTTCACATAGAATTAAAATACATTTATTTTTTTCAAAATTCTCAAAAAAACATTTTGTCACATTAATTGAAAATAAATAAGTCAATTGGAATGAAAGGATTAGATACCATTTTTCAACAACTGGCTTACCACAGAGAAATTGTTCAATATAATTTTAAAATATTTTGCATTAGACCAGGATATGTGATATGTGTGATATTGAGATATATGTGATATGGAGATATATGTAATATGGAGATATATCTGATATGGAGATATATGTGATATGGAGATATATGTGATATATGTGATATTGAGATATATGTGATATGGAGATATGTGACATGGAGATATATGTGATATTGAGATATGTGATATGTCTATACGTTTGAAATGTTAAGTTTAAGAAAACATTTCCAACTTGTATTTGAAGGTAGCTGTTGTGTGAAATATGTGCTGACAATACATTCTCTCATCATTGTTCAAAGCAGTGTTAAACCCAACTCACTCACGCAGAATCACTCATCACTTTCATTCAGCCAATAAGACTGGTGTTACCTTATATCTAAGTTGTTAAATTACACATTGTTTTTGTATCCAGGGGACAAATGGTGATGGTGTCGTGTTCCTGACTATAATTTTCCGTTTGTTCCTAAAATAGGCAGAATCTCCTTCTTCATCAGTTATTTCTTAATGCATGAAGAAACAAAAATGTCTCTTGCTGCCATTACAAAGACATTATTTGTTTATCAACTCAGTTGACATAATAAAAGTATGCATATGGGGATTAGGTTATGTCTTTAAGTTAATTCTCATCATGTTTCAAAGGTCTCCTAGCATCTTAACAATAGATATTTTAGCTTTCTGTCGTATGTTTTGCGGACTACCCTTTTCAATAATTGAAAAGTAAAAAAAATATGCAATTATTTCTTTTTCTCTTTTATGTTAGTAAATTGTATTCACAAGCAAAGCTGACAACTTTTTTGTTTTGCCTCATGCATCTTGACAAAGGAAATCTGTAAAAGAAGTACACAAATTGTTATAGCCTTAAAGAAGGTTTAGGTTCTGGCCAATGACAGTTCTAGGAACTTGTTTTACAGGTGATTTGTTTGTCTACTAACTCAAATTTGATTATGGATATCGATCTTTCAATTACCCAATGAACACAGTGTCTCAGTTTCGCAATTGATATAAAGTGCAATGTCCAAGGTTGGAAATGGCGCCATATCGCAGAGCACAGTCCCTCTTCAAGACAAGATGTACTACATACTCTGGAGCAATAAAAGGGTTAATGTTTTACATAGTCTGTCAAAGATAGGGTACGCACAATTTCATCAGGACGCATGAAAGTACATCTTGACTTCTTCCTTTCATCAGCTTCCAAGAGAACCATGTCACTATCAAGTTAAATTTAAGCAATCGTTCATCATGATGACTATCTTTGTTTCTTCTTTCTTCTCTCCTTCCTCGCAGTTGCTTCATCAGATGAAGGAAATTAACCTAAAAAAATAGTTATCTTATCATTTTCTCCCAAATGTGTGTGTTCTGTGTTAACCAACCTTTCAGCATGTAGGTGTTGCTTCTTGTCTGGAGTCTCATGTTCATAGTTTGGGAAGTTTGAAGAAAATATGTTTTGTATTTTGTTCTGATTGGGCCGTTCTTTGGATGGAGGCGAAGATGCTTCTGGGTTAAGGGATATGTTCCTGCAGTTGCTGCTGAGACAGGTAACTGGACTAAAGTGGACGTTTGAAAAGCTGTATTTGCTGAATAAGCAAGCCTATAGCCATGATCTTTGGGCATCGGTTTTAGTACAGCTGAACTTTATATAACACAGTTGTTGAGTAAAGGTTGTCACAAGCGCTTGTCACTTTTTCCCCTCCCCTGTTTTAAACCCCACTCAGACCTCAGTTATAAACCCACAAAAGTCCTCAGCCACTAACCTACCCTACTAACCTACCCCACTAACCTGTGCCATTCCTTCATAGACTCATAGTTAAAGTATAGGTCATATTGTGAAACACCCAGATTTGATTTTAACATTGTTGCAATCAGTGAGGCAATAGTTCATAGTTAAGGTATAGGTCATATTGTCAAACACCCAGATTTGATTCTAACATTGTTGCAATCAGTGAGGCAATAGTTCGTAGTTAAAGCATAGATCATATTGTCAAACACCCAGATTTGATTCTAACATTGTTGCAATCTGTGAGGCAATAGTTCATAGTTAAAGCATAGGTCATATTATCAAACACCCAGATTTGATTTTAACATTGTTGCAATCAGTGAGGCAATAGTTCATAGTTAAAGCATAGGTCATATTATCAAACACCCAGATTTGATTTTAACATTGTTGCAATCAGTGAGGCAATAGTTCATAGTTAAGGCAATAGTTAATAGTTAAGGCATAGGTCATATTGTCAAACACCCAGATTTGATTCTAACATTGTTGCAATCAGTGAGGCAATAGTTCATAGTTAAAGCATAGGTCATATTGTCAAACACCCAGGTTTTATTCCAATGTTGTTGCCATCAGTGAGGCCATTTCGTGGTGTCTCCTAGCTCTGAAAGCACCACAGCCCCTTCACTGACTAGCAATGACATATCGATGTGTCTAATGTTTTCTGTTATTCTTCATTTCAGGATTACCGGGATGAGAAGGGGGTACTGAGCAGTCCGACCCGGAAGCGAGGATGTACAGACATGCTGGCACTCTTCGTCTTCTTCCTCTTCTGGGCTGGAATGGTAGGTGTCTTGTGTGTCTGGGCTGAGATACAAAGTCCCTGTGATCTGGAAGAGGCTCTGACTAAGCTGCTTCTTGCTGTAAGCTGGGAGATGTCTACAGACATATTCACAGAGTTTACACAACTGGGATTGGAGGTGGGGAGATGTGGTCTGGGTCAGAGGTGGTGGCATGTATACTGGGATCGGAGGTGGGGAGATGTGTACTGGGATCAGAGATGGGGAGATGTTAACTGGCATCGGACGTGGGGAGATGTGGTCTGGGTCAGAGGTGGTGGCATGTATACTGGGATTGGAGGTGGGGAGATGGGGTCTGGATCAGAGGTGGTGGCATGTATACTGGGATTGGAGGTGGGGAGATGTGTACTGGGATCGGAGGTCGGGAGATGTGTACTGGGATCAGAGATGGGGAGATGTGTACTGCCATGGGAGGTGGGGAGATGTGGTCTGGGTCAGAGGTGGTGGCATGTATACTGGGATTGGAGGTGGGGAGATGTGTACTGGGATTGGGGGTGGGGAGATGTGTACTGGGATCGGAGGTGGGGAGATGTGTACTGGGATCGGAGGTGGGGAGATGTGTACTGGGATAGGAGGTGGGGAGATGTGTACTGGGATCAGAGATGGGGAGATGTTAACTGGCATCGGAGGTGGGGAGATGTGGACTGGGTCAGAGGTGGTGGCATGTGTACTGGGATCGGAGGTGGGGAGATGTGTACTGGGATCTGAAGTGGGGAGATGTGTACTGGGATCAGAGATGGGGAGATGTTAACTGGCATCGGAGGTGGGGAGATGTGGACTGGGATCGGAGGTGGTGGTATATGTGCTGGTATCGGAGGTGTGGAGATGTGTTCATATATATTGAAAGGGTTAACCACACGGAGATTAGAAGTTTCAGCCTTATGTTGCCTTCATCACATGTCATTATGTGCTACAATACCCAGCACACATAAGTAACACAGTTACTAGTGCTAAACCTTCTCGTCTGGAATATCCAGTGGATAGTGTGTACTGGTGGATACGGTCAATCTAAGGTCAATGAATCAGTACAATATATCTCCTGTCTCAACACACAGTCGGAGTTAAAAAACCACTCACTCACTAATCCCCATCACCCCTTATAATTGCAATAATCTTGAACGGGACATTAAACCTCACCTCACCTCACCTCACCTCACCTCACCTCACCTCCGGGTGGCGGGGAAGCCTAGTGGTTAAAGTTTATTTGTTTCTTGCAATATTCTAGCTGCATGGCAGTGGTCTGTAAATAATGAAGTCTGGACCAGACAATCCCTTGATTGATATCATGAGCACCAATCCACTCAATTGGGATACAATGACATTCATCAACCAAGACAGCAAGCCTGACCACCCGATCCCTTTAGTCGCCTCTTACGACAAGCATAGTCGACTGTTAGGCAAGCATGGGTTGCTGAAGACCTATTCTAACCCAAATTTTCTTTTTGTGTCCCCAGCCATGATATTCCTGGAATATTGCTACAAGAGTCATAAAACCATACTCACCTCACCTCACCTCACCTCACCTCACCTCACCTCACCTCACCTCACCTCATTAAAAATGAATACAAAACATCTAATATGATAGTGTATGGTTATCATTAGATATAGACCATCACACAGATGAACACCCTGGTACTAAACAGCTGCTTACCCACATTTAACCATGGTGTTTAATATTGAAATACAGATAAACCCTCTTAACGGTGGATCATAGGGACAGACAGACGTGTTAATTTCCCAGTAATCAGTTCGCATAAAACAACAGTGTGATAGCACTAATGCTTCACATGGAGTAGTCTACCCAGTATTCTGCAGCCCATGATGCTAATCAGACATATCACGATTTCCTGGTGGAGATCCAATTTTCCCATGGCCCGATATTTATTATTCTTTTCCTTCAAAATGGAGAAAAACGGACACCGTTAGAAGCTATCTGAACTACAATTAGAAGAAGTGATTGCAACATTCGTGGAAGACGCCACTAAGGGCGTGTTGTTAGCTTCAAGTGCTTGGACTACATCTGTTTTTCAAGTGATAGTTTTTGCATCTGTTCATTGTTTTTCGTGTCGTTACTAACTAGTGTAGCAGTAATGCCAAGGACGTCGCAAATTCCGGATCATGTCGACAAAAACATTTAGCAGCATGTGGTTGTTTTTTAGCTGCATTCTTTCCTTGATTGGCTCATTTGGGTGATGTTTCTTATGATATATGTTGACGTTGTTCTTCGTCCTGTCCTAGCTTGTCTCATCATCAAAACGACGCCCAGATGTTGTTGAACCTACACCAACAGGGCTGTACCCATGCCATTTGTTTTCATGATTATACACACACTAATATTTGTGTGTTTCGCTGTGTTTAGATTATACATTTTTTCTGGAATTACTTTTTTGGATGACTCTGTCAAAACAGTTATGACATATGGATATTAAATGCAAAAACATGGTTTACAGACTTTGTGAGAGATGTTCTTGAGTTAAGATATTTTAATGTTTGCATTCCTGTCATTGAGTTCAGATCTGTATGTTCTAAATACAGTGTCACTGTTCAGCTAATGTGAAAATTATTTTTTTATTTATGAATATGGAAAGCCCAAATATAACATGCTTCTGTAGATATATTTTTGGCTGGCAATTCTCCAATGTTTATATTTCTGTTTCTATGTCATTAAGTTCAACACAGAAGTTTGTGAGTAGTTCTCTGACTATTTACAAACAGCAAGTGAGTATAGCAAGCATGAGAAGCTCACAAACCAATCAACTGTGATAAGCTATATTGAAGAACCCGTGAAGACTCCGGGGTGGAATAGGTCTTCAGCAACCCATGCTTGCCGTAAAAGGTGACCGTGCTTGTCGTAAAAGGCGACTAACGGGATCGGGTGGTCAGGCTCGCTGACTTGGTTGATGCATGTTATCGATCCCAATTGGGTGGATCGATGCTCATGATATCAATCACTGGATTGTCTTGTCCAGACTCGATTATTTACAGACTGCCATCATATAGCTGGAATATTGCTGAGTGCGGCGTTAAACATCAATCCAACCAACCAACTATATTCAAGAGATGCTCAAGAGATGCTCAAGAGATGCTCAACGTGTCATGTCAATTTGAGTTTCAAATAAATTATTTCACTTCTTGAAAGTATCTGTTAAGGCCATGCTGAGATTTAATGACCAGCTACATCAACATCAGAAGCAATGGAAATTTTAATATATTTTCAAAAACAACAGCAAGCTTTCAGTTCTTTTTACAAACATAAATCCTTATCTTAAGCTGGTTCTACGTCCATTTTGGCATGTAATCCTGCTAGCTGACATGTTTATAGGCAGTTTACAAGAATAAATAGAATACCTCTCAATTTCAACCATGCTAATGAATATCATCCCTAAGATTTCATAAAAGGTGCATCCAATGAATGATGAATGTTAGAATGGTTGAAATTGGCGTTTTCCTGAAAGATGTCATCAATTATGAAAACCTTCACCCTAATTTTATAATACTTGTCAGTTTCGTATGAACAGCATCCCTGTCATGTGTATGTCTTGATTTAGGTGATGTTTTTATCAGTGGTTATGTTCAAATCTTAAAGATGTTTTCAATCATAGAAAAGGCCTAAACTAACATTCAGTCCCAGAAATAAAGTTGTCTTATTTAAAAATACATATCTACGAAATCAAAATTAAATTAAAATGGGGCCCAGAACATGCTAAATTTCAGGAGCTGAGGCAATCTAGACTTGAGTTGGAGTCATTAATAAATTTATTCTCTATGGTCTATGAGCCAGACTAAGAAAAGGTCCAATGTGACTATTTATGTCAATTTCACTCCTGTAAGTAAATCCAAGTTGGTTGAATCATACATTTCGTTTAAGATGATGCATATAGTTCTGAGGAGGTGAAATGTCATAGCCTCGTCTCAGCATTCCTCAGCCCTTACTGCACCATATTTCCATGATGAAGTATCACTGCTTCTGACAACTCCATCTTACTGACATCAACATTTGCTTTCGGTGCCGCTGGCATGAGAGAGACTTCTCAGAAGAGTACAAGTGTGGCATCGGTTTATGCAGGTGCTGTTCAAAGACAAAAGGATTTGTTCCGGTTTCCTCCTCCTTGTGTTGACGTGTTGCCAGGGTGATCCTTAGGCTATCAACTGATTACAAAAAGATGAAAACACTAAAAATACGTTATATTTGTTGTACTTAAGTTTTTCGGCATTGTGTAAAACACGTTCAGTGTTTTTTGTCATGGTCATGTCAGAAGAACAATATCATAGCATATTTTTAGCTTGTTAGGAATTTAATCATTAAGACAGTATGAGTTAATATTGTGGACACTATTAGGCTATCAACAGATTACAAAAAGATGAAAACACTAAAAATACGTTATATTTGTTGTACTTAAGTTTTTCGGCATTGCGTAAAACACGTTCAGTGTTTTTTGTCATGGTCATGTCAGAAGAACAATATCATAGCATATTTTTAGCTTGAAAGGAATTTAATTATTAAGACAGAGTATGAAGAACAATATCATAGCATATTTTTAGCTTGTTAGGAATTTAATCATTAAGACAGAGTATGAGTTAATATTGTGGATGTGACTTCAATGCTGATTAATTGATTTGTAACATTTCTTGACAAAGCTAGGTGACTTGAAGCAGTAATGACCTATGATTCTATTATGTACTATCTAGTAATTGTATTATCACATTAATATATCATGAGGCACTTATTGATTGTTTGCAGCACCTTAAGAAATGCTCTCATTAGCATTACTACATCAAATTCGTGTAAATAGCCTTCATTAATACTTGATACCTGAAGAACATTTTCAATTACAGTTATTACATCATTAAAATGTAGGATTAACTCTTTCTAGATACCCTTT